TTACTCTGAAAAAACCGTAGTTTTTTACTTTCGAAACTTTCTTCTCTTTCGTCCGGTACTTGACAAACTTTTGAAATAGTCAGTCTGGTAGAGTAAAAATTTCTCCACCAAATGAGATGTATCTTAGCTTTTCACCACGTTTTCTGATAGAGGTATGACCATTTTGGACGGTATCTCACAAATGTGGCTTTTTCAAAGGCTTCCAACAAAATGATCATAACTCTATCAGAAAACATGGCGAAAAGCTAGGATATATTTCATTTTGTGGAGAAATCTTTACTCTACCAGACTGACTATCTCAAAAGTTTATCAAGTACCGGACGAAAGAGAAGAAAGTTTCGAAAGTAAAAAACTACGGTTTTTTCAGAGTAAAGTAACAAATTTTAAAAAATTCGTATCTCCTCGACGAAAGGGCTTGGAGAGCTGGGAGTGATCTTATTTTGTAGAGGACACTTTACTCTGTAATGCACAATATTTAACTCAAAAATAAAAAATATTTTCTAAAGTCTAAAAGAGAGAGGGGTTACCTTTCATTTTCTCTCACGGTACGCAACAAAATTTCATAATATATACACCATTGGATAGAGGAAGTCTTCCTCTACAAACCTACATATATCTCGTTCTGGGGTCAAGACGTCATAGTCGCCTGTTGTCGCCTGCTAGTAGTGCAACGGTAACCCTTCACATACTTGAAATCCATTCCATATTAGGAGAACATTTTGGCGAGATTTTTTTGAAAACTGCCCTATAGATAGGAATAGGGCATTTTCTGCTTTTTTGGCGGAGATAATAGAAGACCATGGTCTTCTATTTGGCTTTCAAGGTATATACTCGTTAGTGATCTTCCAACAGGGAATGGTCTTCTATTATGGAGGGTGAGGCGGTTTAGTCATATCAGTTATAATATCATCAATATTATCACTAATTAAGGAGATCGTCTGGCATTATGGAGGTCGTCCAAAACGATACCGTCGGAAACACATTTTGAATAAAGTAAGACACATTAACGCCTCGCATAGTCATGACAAACACCATCCAATGATATTACTCAGCAGATTTTTCTCCATCGATTGATTTAATTTTGAAGAAATTTAGCTGTGGCAAACAACGAAGATATCAAAGTAGGCGCAATTTATTAAAAAGTTATTTTATTTTCGTTTTTTTCATTTAAGAAAAAACGGAAATCTAAATCCAGCCAAAACATTTAGCCTGTTGTCATATTCACTTTTTTCACCGAAACAATCTAGTAGTTTTAAGACCCTTTTCAAGTCAAAGGAATAAGATTCTTGTAATCCTTCTGATAGGAATTTTATCAATATCTTATGCACTTTCATTGACTGCCTTATATAAGATTCTTATAAAATTTCTGTAAGATCCCGATATAATTGCCGTAAGTTCAGTCGTCTAGGATAATTGTTACAGGTTTTTGTTTTCATATATTCACTCGCTTGTGTCGATATATTATTTTATTTCATTTTATTTGTCCTAAGTTCTTTGTTTCTGAATTAAAATTCGTTTTTCTCTTCTTCGTTGTATTTTACGTCATGTGTCAATACAGGACGTGGACACAAAGAAAGGAAGAAAAGAGCCGAGAAAACATGGAATAAACTTAGAAAGAAATTGTTCATCATAGGCCATAACTGTAGATTTAACATCGAGCTACAGACGTGTGTTATTCTAATTTCATTTATCAAGTTTTTCTTAAAATTATTATGCTACTGATAAGACGTTGGTAAACGTTGAAACGTTAGATCTTGAAAATAATAATTGTACGAACAAATATTGCTTCATCATTAAACGCATTAAAAGGGACTGTATGTGTCTCAGTGGTTTCTTCTCTTACTCTGAAGTATTTTTCCATAGATTTTCATAAAAAATCATGTTAGAAAGATCCACAGCCATTCCATTTAGAAATCGATAGTAGTATCAGTATGTCCGCTAGTGGTTTTCAACGCGTTATGAAGGTTTCAGTTTACCTGTAACAAACGGCTGGCTGAGGTATTTTTTCCGACAAAAAAAAAGTTATACACTGAAAATTTGTCGTTAAAGGACGAGAATCGATAAGAGGTAAAATCGGCTCTCTCACAGTAGAGATGAGATGGCATGCCAAAGTTTCGCACCCTTTCGTATAATACGAAAGCCGTAGTATATATTTCTTTCCATTCTGCCGATGAAGTGTGACATGTTATAAAACAGAAGAAAATGCAAAGAATTTTGTTTTCTTTCGTTACTTTTGCTGTGTTGAAACACACAAAAGTGAGATGTCACTTTCCTATAAGTGACTTGTCACCTTTGAACTATAAAAGATAATGTAAATCGTTGCTAAAAGAAATAAAGTAGAGCAAAAAATCCAACAGTATAATTCGACAGCCTGACATGATTACTGATCATAGGCGTATCAGTACAAAAAAATTTCAAGAGCTATCGGACGAGAAAACCGATCTTCAGAATAGGCCGTTTTTCATAGTCTACCACGTTTTGAGCTCAACTGTACAACAACTAAGGCACTTATACGAAATGAATTCATAGTTGAGATATACTTATACAATAGATATAAGTAATATTAAATGCAAGGATATATTTTTCAGATAAAAAAATTATGCGAAAGTCATCGCATAATTAGTAAAATTCTTCGTTGTTGTGCGTATATGTTCGCTCATCTGCAATAATTATTTTTGAACATGCTCTTGGCTATAGGTAGTACTCGACTCCACTACTTATGCTCAGGGGCGCCCCGAACTTTTAGCTATTTTACCCAATGTTAAACGACGTGCAACGCAACATTTTTTTATTCCATCCCTGATTACAAGTTGAATTAAAAAATTTACACCGAAAATAGGATTTTCTTACTCCAAAAATTAGGCCCTTTGACTTGCGAGAATATCCTACGGAGTAACGCGCTTACTTGTATTTTCAGAGTAAGACAATTATTCTCATTTTTAGAGTATAAAAGGCTTACTCTCAGTTTCGAAGTAAGGCGCTTAATCCCATTTTTCAGAGTAAGACGTCTACTCTCAATTTTGGAGTAAGACATTTATTCAATTTTGAGAGCAAAAGACTTACTCTCAGTTTCGTAGTTAGGAATTTACTCTCTTTTCAAAAGTAAGATATTTACTGCTATTTTCGGAGTAAGAGATACACTTCCAGAAGTAAATGAAGAGTCCACATTTGGAGCATAAGGTATGCTCCAAATGTGGACTCTTCATTTACTTCCTAGAGCAAGATATAAACAAAAGAAATTTCGCTTTATATAGTTACCGTTTCAGCTCGTTTATAGTGCTTTTACGAAAGATTTCATAACTTTCGAAGGAAACAAGTTCAAGTGAAAAACTTTTAGAAATCTTCATATGCTGCTAGCTACTGTGTAAGTATGAACAAAAAACTTAGACAACGATTGAGCAACTTATTGCGAGAAACGGCTGTCTCTACGATGCAATAACTCACAATTGAACGGTGCTTCGTCTTCAAATCGAAAAGTAAACAAATCATTCGACACATAAATTAGTTCTTCTTCTTCGTCAGTAATCATGCCCTGTTGTAGAAAAGCAACTGCTTGTTGATCAATCATTTCCATTGATGTTGTTTGTGTTTGTAGAGAACTATACTGGAGAATAGGGGAATGATATGGAACGACGGTTGTAGTTTGGTGTTCTATGTTGGATGATTGACCAGATAAGAATTTCCGTATATTATCACTCTTCTCGATTGAGCATTTAATGAACATCACATCATCGATAACGTAGTTGCTGGGATCTTGTAGTATCACCGGCAGCGGACAGAATTTCTGTATTCCGTACTGTTCGTTCATTTCTAAGCGAGGACGCTGAAAGCTATTTGAACTTGTGTCGGGACGAAATGAAGCTATAACATCTCGATGTTGACCAGACTGATCAAATAAACAAAAGGTAACTTTGCAATCAAACGGCCATTTGATAATTGGATCATTATCACCTCTCATAAGTACAAAAAATACTGACATATGCGTTCCTCTGGCATTACCATCTCCATAAGCATAGAGCCGAGCACGCATTTTGTATCCGGGTGGTGAAGAGTGAAATGGAGGGCTATAAATTGACGTCTGTCTTTCATGCTGTGCATCCGACATTATATTTGAAACATTGTCTATTCTCCATATTAATGTTCCATCACAAGCGGACGACTTTTCTTTATTTACTGTTTTTTTCAGACTTAATAAATCTTGTTGTAATATTTCTTGGTTTTGTGTTATGCTATCAATACAAGTATTCACATCAGTTATTCCATTTTCTAATTCTTTCATTTGTCCTTGAACTCCTTGTAATAGATTTTGATGACGAAGTGATTCGCTACTTAACCGATTTGAATCTTGACTTAACGTTTTTATGCTTTCGGCCCACGTTATTAACGTGTTATCAAGGACGGGGTGCAATGGGATTTGTTGATCGGACCTGTCGGGTTTAAGACGTATATTCATCCCAGGTGACATTTTAGATGATATTGTTAACTTAGCGTCTTGCTGAAAGAAAAAGAAAATGAAATTAAGACTTAATTTTTCTATTTTCTCTTTTATGTTTGTAATCCATGGATAATATACCTTATTTTATTTAGAGATAAACAAGACAACAGTACATTCAAAGTGAATGTAGTAGGGGTATCTTTTTCTTGTTTCTATGGATGTTATGAAAGTCTCCGTCGACAACGGTCTTTCTTTTGCAGGCTTTTCCCGTAAGTACATGAAACTAGTAGTTCAAGACTTAGGGAAACTATGGACGAATCGATCGGATCAAACGGGACCTATTCAATATCCTTTCGATTAGCTGTATGAGTAGCGTTTAAAGAGTCGAATGTCTGAACTAGAGATCTGCACTGGTTACCCGTGCACAGCAGTCGTATAAGTTTTTTCACTCCACGGCAGCTGTCCACGGTCATGCAGATCTCACTTCTAAGCACTATACAGAATATATCGACAAATATAAATGAATGTCTAGCTTTCCAGATCTTAGTAAACGTTTTAGCCGAATTTGCTTGTGCACTCAGTTGACAAAGAATGGTTGAACTAGGATAATTAATTAAATTCTGTGAACAGGTGCATAGAGAAACAGATTCGGCTAAGGCACATTCGTGAAATTCTGTGTTCAAGGATTCCTAGAGTACCTTGTTAATGAATTGTTGTATCA